TTTATTTGCAAATTTGTCTTCGTAAGATTTTTTTTCTTAAAGATGAATCATATCTTGATAGATAAAATTTTTGGGACTTTTCAAATAATTAATTGTAATCAAAACAATTCCCACCTATGAAGATTTATACTTGTAGAAACCAGAATTAAACTTTCAGTACAATACTGGAGCATATGATGCAGCCCGACCACATATTTTTGATTTTATTGAATTTATATCCGATTTACATGTGCTAACTGAAATTAAGGTATTTCATATGCATATTCCAAGAATATAGCAAATTATAAAATTTTCATAGTTTCTTAACATTTTTTTGAAGTGGAATCCTTTATTTTTCTTCTAATTTTTAATATTACTTTCTTCTATGCAAAATAATTTATTTCGATTTTAAATTAAATAGGAATAATTTTTCCAGAAGATCACCAATTCTGATAGCATTGGTGGCGATATTAAATCATCGGTAGCGCAAATTGTTGATGTTGAAATGAGCCGATCAGGTGTACGTGATTCGCGAACTGTGGTAATTCAACTCTATCATTATTTTGTTAAAAGCACACAAATTCGGTAATGAAATTATTGTACGTCCATGAGATTGCTATAAATAAAAGGAAATAATTAAAATAAATTCTTTTCAAAGAAACAAGATAAGGTAGTTAATTCTTAGGACTATAATATTCGTTTGGAAAAAAGCTTTTTTTCGATTCGTTTTTAATTAATTAAATAATCGCATACTTTTTAATTCATCTCTCTCTTTTTTTAACTTTTTCTTTCTTTTCTTCATTGATGTTATTGTGATTAAAGCTGTTAATTGCATCTTCCAAATAACGACATATTTGCGAGGATTTTATGATAAAAATAGTTTGGAGGAGTAAATTTAAACGTTAAGTGAATTGAAATGAAAAATGTAATTGAATCCAAGAAATATTCCACATAATTAATTAGTACATTTTAGAAATATTTTGAATATAATTTCTGGAAGGGTGCTGATGATAAAACAGCACATGACGGACGTATTATCCTGAAAATTTACATTCAAACTGTTATGTAAAATCTTTGAGAATATTGTTTTTACTTCCATGATTTTTATTTTGAAGTTGTAAAATTGTTCATATAATACAAAAATAAAAGTCTCACGTTATGTTTGTTCAACCACGCATACATCTTTAATCTTTACCTAACCGTAACAGTAGAACTTTTCTAAATTCGACCTTTACAAAAATTAATTATCGATCGATTAAATGCTTATTATAATTTAATTGTTAGTACTTTTCATAAATGTCGTAGTACTTTCTTTTTTAATGAAATGTATTCAATTAAATTAAATAATGCTACTGAAAAAAAGCAAAAAAATTTTTCTATTTTATTTTTAGAACTAATTGAATCAAATATATACATTTCAAAAATGAAAATTTATACTTGTAGAATCGTTATCTGCCATGGTTAACGTCACCGCCATCTGTAACGCAATCTACGCCAACTGCATTTGCGGATGCTGTAACAAACGTACGATTACTTTCTTGGCTTTTACTTGGAGCACTTCAGGCTAATCAACCATGCCTACCAATACCAATTAGTTGCTCACAATATATGGCTGATTACATTCATTTTGTGCTTGCCGGTTTTGCTGATCAGTCAAAGGTTTTTTTTTTCCCTTTACTTTTCAATTTTATTCATCCTAGACTTAAAAAGTTAATAATTTAATCTTTTAAAGTGTTTTTTTTTTAATTTTTATTGATTATACAAAAATTGTAACTTAACTTTTTTTTTCATTTTTCTAGAAAGAAAAAAAGGAAAAATAGAATTTATTCAGGAATCAGTGGTTCATATGTCAGCACTTTTTCATGCTTTTCATTTATGTCAATTATGGACGGTTTATTGTGAACGAGCAGAGCTAACATCAGATGATCCTCAACCTTCTTCATTAGCAAATATTTTGGATTTTTGGTCTCGGGTAACACCTGCCATTTTGCAACTCTTGTCACATTCCAAAGTGGTACAGTTTATTTAATAATTTAAAATTTTAAAATAGCACGCATAATTATCAGTTTTATGATCTGATAATAATTAATTACGGTAGGCACAATTGTTATTTTTTCGACTATTAGTACCAATGAAACTATCAGAATAAATAATAGATAATGAATTTTTGCTTTCACAATAATTTCGGAATGAAACGATTTACAAGCTCTTTCATTTGTTCAATTATTCGGCTATCGTAATCGAACCATTATCAGATACATACAATGAGGTAATTTTTAGCTAGCTGATATGGTCAATTTACATTTTCTGAATACAATGCAAGCATTGCGACAGTGTAGTTCGGCGGTACTTGGACAATTAGGTGCTATGTGGCAACCGATTTTGACCGCTTATCATGCGCAAATTCCCAGCAAATTACGATTAAAATTAGACTCATGCGAAAATCAACCGTTGTTGAATTCTGAACCGCTACAACAATGGCTTAAAGGAGTGCGCTATAAAATTTCACAAATTGAATTGCAAACTTCTGCAGCATCACCTTTCTATAATGTATAGTATATTTACATTAATGTATTTGCCTAATTTTTTTTTTCTCTTTTTTCTTTCTTTTTTCAAAAGATCATATGTTGAAGAGAATAATAAATATATTTGAAAATTTATGAAACTGAAAATTTCTCGAAAAAAAAAAAAGAAAAATGAACTATGCAATATTTATTCGTGCATATTTCATATTTCCAAAAATATTTTTCGCAACAGACAAAAAAAAAAATCATCAATTTAGCATATTTTAGAATGCAAAGGAAAAAAAAAGACTCCTTTATGTTACATTGAGAATTAAGAAGAGATGACGATAAAATACACGGCATTATTTATATTCAAAGTTAACGATAGAAATTTTCAAGAATAAGAATAAAAAAGAAACAAGAAGCTAAGATGTGTATATAATAGGGATCAATACGATGAAAGTGATGAGATGACTTTCCTGATCCGGAAAGCAATGATTGCTTATGATCCGGATAACTTTAATTCTACCAGTTAATATTAACAACCGCAACTGGTAATGCATCAATTAAATAGATCCAAGCGATAAATGCTAAAGTTACCCGTTATCATATTATCGCTTGTATTATATTTCTGTGCGAATTCAATTTCCATTTATGAAATTAAAATATCAGAGATTATTACAAAATCGTTACTTACAACCATTCCTATCAAAAAAATGATCATGGATATGAACAAACAATGAGCAATTTAGAAATGATTACCATCAATTAATAAATAACCTTAAACAGATATTAACAATCTGTTCATCACTAATTTAATGTTAACTAAATGATACAATTCAATTGATATATGATATGAAGTCAACAAGTATTTTGCAAAATTAACAATATATGCAAAGCTTGATCGTAGTAGGAATTAAAATTTAACAAAAAAATTTATCGATTATATTAAAGCACTGGAGAAAGGTTAAATGAAGTAAAAAAGGGAAGAAACAATATGCTTATATATTTCTCAATTAATGAAATTTCTCATTTTTTTCTATTTATTAGAAAATAATGCTATATTTTTACTAAAAAAATAAATAAAAATAGAGAAACATTTCTTTTCTTTTTTTCTTTTCATATTTATATATT